GCGTAGCGGATCCACCGACTCGTACGCTACTGCCGACTCGCATACCGCCCTTGCCAAGTATGGCAGCCTCTCGCAAGCACCTCCGCGCATCTACACGGAGAACGTGTCGATGTTGGCGGATCGCGACCTCGCCAGCTCGCCGCTCGAGACGAGTTCCTCGGGTCATTCGTCGTTCCGCATTCGCAGCCCAGCCTTGACCGTCGCCACATCCTCGCTCGGACACACGAGCCCGGCAGGCACCATGGCACGGGGCTCGCCGTCCCCGAGCCTGTCGGTGCGCGAGTCGGTGTCTCCAGAGGTGCCGCCCAAAGACGCCGATTGGAGGTCTCGCTCACCTGCGCTTTCCGTCTCTGCGTCCGAGTCGGGCGATGGCGCTGCATCGCCCGCGGCAGGAAGCAGTGGTTATCGCTACGGCCGGAAGGGACCTTCGTCGCTTGACAGCGGCCACGTCTCGGGACACCAGACGCAGGATAGCTGGGCAAGCACGGCGCATTCCATCACTTCGTCCGAGGGCAGCCACGGTGTGACGCGCGGACTGGGTCTGCGCGAGCGTCGTCATGCTCCGCCTCGCATCTACCCACCTTCGACGTCGACTCGATGGGCACACATTGCGCATCAGGACGATAGCAGCAGTGCATTAAGCGGATACGCGCCCAGCCGCCGCTCACAGCAATCGCCCATGCACGCGCCCATGCAGAGAAAGACGTCAGCAGACGCTTTGGTCAGGGCCGACCGCAGCCCAATGAGCGACGTCTCGCAGGCACAGCAGGTCGGTCAGCAGCATCACGACGACCGCAGCTCGATCCGCAGCGCGCGCTCGGACGGAGAGTTTGCTGGCTTGGATTCGAGGGACCGGCGGCAGCCCCATTACCCGTCCAGTGCCTCGCCGACCACCCTTGACGGTCGTCCTTCGCCATCGGGCTTCTTCTCGCCCAAGTTTACGCAAGGCTCGCTGCAGAACGGGGGGCGAGGTAGCATTAGCTCGGTGGCTCCGTCGTCGAGAGACTCGATGGGGCCACCGCCTCCGCCGCCTCCGAAACCGTCGGTTGCGGTGCGCAAACAGCCAGAGTACATCCTTCCGGGAGCTGATGGGTTCTACACAATGCCAGCCAGTGTGGGAGCGACGGGGCGCGACGCGGGTGGAAGCGATGCTGCCATGCTCAGCGCGGGCCGGCTTCGACCCCCGCCCCTGTCGCCTGCGCTGTCACCATCGTCTTCCACCGAGGCATCCGACTACCATGCGACGATCGAGGAGTGGATGCGAGACGACTACTCTGACCGATCGCCGGCTACAACGACGTTCTCGGCTACGTCGCCTAGCCCTTCGTCGAGCAGCCGAGACTCGCCTCTTCCTCCGCTGCCCAAGGAGGAGGACGAGGAGACTTTCGACTCGATGCCGCAGGCATCGCACTTCCTGCCATCTCCTACCGTGCTGGTGAGCTCGAATGAGCCGACGCACAACGCATCGCAAGCGCCTGCTAGGCACGAGAAAGCTGCGATGCCGAAGACGCCGTCAGGAGGGCCTCCGCGGCTGGAGCTGAGGGACTCGATCCAAGATGCAACGAGGCTCGAGGCGTACTACCCTCCGCCGTCGCCGGGCGAGTCGATCGAGATGCTGGATGACGCAGGCCCAGGTCGCGGTAGCGCTGAATCGGGTGTCCACAAGTCGAACGCAGGCCGGGAGGCGAAGGCCGAGAGCAGCAGAGAACGCAGCCGCGACGATACACGATCTGTGATCTCGATCGGGCCGCGCGCGCACGACGACGCACGTCGCTTCCCCGTGTCGATGCACTATGCGAGCGGCTTTGACACGGCGTCGATGCTGGGGGACGATTCGGAGGCGATCCGGTCGTTCCGGGAGCTCATGCTGGCGCGGCAGTCGATGGACCTGGAAGACATGATGCCTCTGCAGATGGGAGCCGATTCGAGCGCGCCGCCGGTGCCTTCGCTGCCGAGCATGAAAGAGCTGGAAGCCAAAGTGGCGGCTGCGAGCCTCTCGCGCACAGGCGGCGAGTCTGGACGGAGGAGCGACGAGTCGGGATCGAGTTCGCACTCATCCGGACGGGCGACGCGCAGCAGCGCAGCCTCGCCGAGCTGGTCCGAGACGGGCGCCGAGGTGGTCGCGGCCCGGCTTCCGGCCAAGCTCTCGCATCTGGCGGTCGAGTTGGATCTGCAACCTCTGCGACGCGGGGTGCTGTGCGATCTGGAGATGATCGGGGACGGCGAAAGCGGGCCCGTGTTCGCGGCGAACGATGTGGTGAAGAAGCGCCGCGCGGCGATCAAGATGGTCAAGTTCGGTGCGGATGCGGACGAGGAGTCGTCTGCTCGACTCAAGGGACTGGTGAAGGAGGTGGGGGTGTGGCGACGCTGTCGACACGTCAACGTGCTGGATCTGTACTCGGTGGTGCTTGGTTCGGATGCGATCTGGATTGTGCAGGAGCTGGCGGAGCGGAGTCTGGCGGACGTGATTGCGTGGAAGGAGGCAGGGGTGCAGCTGACCGAGGCGCGCATGAGTCGGATCATGCTAGATCTGGTCGAGGCGCTGCAGTTCTTGCACGGGCAGCGGGTGCTGCATCGCGACGTGCGGTCGGACAATGTGATGGTGTCGAGCACGGGCGTATGCAAGCTGAGCGACTTTACGCACGCCGGCGAGCTGGGCGCGGGGGCAAGCTGGAGGCAGTCGGTGATTGGGACGCCGTACTGGATGGCGCCCGAAGTGATCAAGGCGGACCGATACGACACTCGGTGCGATGTGTGGTCGGTCGGGGTGGTGCTATGGGAGATGGTCGAAGGCGAGCCTCCGCGGGTCGAGTTCCCGCCTCTGCGGGCGATAACGCTGACGGCTACACTGGGACTACCTGCGCTCAAGGATGCGTCAGCGCTATCGCACGAGCTCAAGTCGTTCCTGCACTGGGCGACGGAGATGGATGCGGAGAAGCGGCCGAGTGCCGAGATGCTGGCGATGAGCGACTTTCTCTCGGACCCGTGCAGCCGCGCCAGCATCGTGGCACTGCTCGAAGAGGCACGGCATGCCGAAGCTCAAGCTGCACGCGAGGAAGCGGCGGACGAAGCCAGCATGGAGGAGCAAAGAAGCGGTAGTGGAGGCAGAAACGGATCGGGACGACGGGATAGCTGGAGCAGCGACTCGACGACGAAAGGATGACGCATGCGTCAGGATGGATACCCCTGCTGCAGCACACACGACTGCAGCATTGTTGTCGCACGCTCATCAATATCAACATCATCTCGGGGAGGAGCAAGCTTTGCCCATTGCATGTGTGTGTTCTCTTTCTCGCGCGGGTGTGTGGAAAAGAAAGGGTTCTTTGTGTGAGGTGTGTGTGTGTGTGTGGGAGAACAGCAGCGCAAACGGGGGGGGTTGGGGAGGCATGCATGGGCTTCATGTGGCGCGCGCGTGCATCTATGTGGATACAATAAGTGGATCCGGGTGGCGGAGATAGGATCGCCATGGTGACACGCGCCAGAGACAAAGCGGCGGCGGGATGGCGCACGACAAAGGGGGCTTGCAGGCATGGGAGTGGCGGCGGCGAAAAGGGTAAGAAGAACGGCCTCGTGCGGGACGGCGGAGGCGTCTTCCCCGATGGACCCCGCCCATCCCGAACGGGATCTAACACCTTTTGGGCGCGCGACTGAATTCGCCGCTCCCTCTCGCAAAGCGGTCGAGAAGTGCACTTTCTTTAGCCGGTCCCGTCGGTCGCGTTGACCGCAGCGCTGAGTCGAAGCCAAAGCGCGCGCTGCCATTATTATTCACCAAACGCACGGCGCAGTGCATTCCTAGACGCCTCTCTGCAACCAAAAAGCCCACCCACTGGCTTCCAGTCGATGCAGCCAAGACAAGGTTTGGCGACGTTGGTGCCTGAGAGAGGGTGGGACCCACAGCCAGAGCCAATGCGATACAGTAGATTTGATTACCGGAAACCAGACCGGTGTGGGCAGAAGAAGTGTGTGTGTGTGGGTGTGTGGGTGTGTGAATGTGTGTGTGTCTCTCTCTCTCAGTCACTGTCGCTCGGCTGGGTTGAGGAATTGATGATTTTGCTCAGCTTTCAGCCAGCGCCGCCATTCAAGCTTGACTCTGTCCCCTGTCGATCAGCAAGCTGTCTCGCATCGATCCCCCACCATCTCTACATCTCTCTGCACGCCCTCCGCCACGTCTGGCAGAGCATCGTACATACAATCTCCCCCCTTAATCTCCCTCTTTGCCCCCACTAAACGCGCATCCCCACTCGCTTTGCATACAACCACCACCACCACCCCCCCCCC